AAAGCTATAACCTTTCTTCTCCTATGATCGTCTTTGTTCATTTGTATTATGACTTCCTCGTGACTTAATAAAGATCCTATTAGTCTTTCTATAGATAGAGCCTTTAAGTCTTTGGTTTCTTCAATTGCAGTACGTTTAGGCAGCCACTCTCTAGGAAGACATCTTAGTATTTTTCTGACCAGATCCTTGGTCTCAAAAACTTTTCCTAGTCCTTTCAACCTATTTATCAAATCATTGAATCTTTTGTACATACTAGAAATTGATTCTCCTGAGCTCATTTCAAAAGATTCATATTCATTTAGTAACACATCTATTCTACTTTCTTTAACTTCAGACGCACCTTCATGAGTGGTTTGAAGAGATTCCCATATCTCCTTGGCTGACTCGCATTGAGCCACCTGGCTTCTTTCTTCAGGACTTAGTGCAGAGAACAGAATGTGCATAGCTCTGGAGTCAAGCTGAGAGGAGATCTTCTGCTCTTCTTTCCAGTCTTCTTCATCTTCATCTTCCATGGGAATTGGTCCTTTTCTGACTACCGCCCATAAATCTCCATCTACACCACGAAGGTAAATTCGCATTCTTTTCTTCCAAACGGTGTAATATGTTCCATCAAACCATGGAGGGTTTGTGGTTGCTGAATAGGAGACTGCTGTTGAAGATGGTCCTGACATCTTTAGACCTTACTCTTTGGCGATGATTAATCCCTCAAAGAGCAGGCTCTGATACCAATTGAAAACTCAAGATATGATATTTGAATGACTCTGAGTAGAGAACTTGTAACTGTATAAATTCTCTCTTGAGATAGAACGAAAGAAGGCTTTTATTCAAACTAACAAATTCAGTACAAAGAAACCGAGCCAAGCCAAGTAACTTGGCTCTTTAGATAGACAGACACTCAAACTATTCACTTCCCAAGATTGAATCACCCAGTATACCCCATACACTGTGATGCTTTCTACTGAAGCGAACAAACTCCTTAACTCGAAGAGAATCACAACAAGATTACTCTCACTACAATCGTTCTAAGACACACACAAATTAGACAGAGGGCTTACAATATATACTACTGGGGATGAATAGCCGTTGCCTAGAGGAGAGCCTTCTCTAGCCTTCATCATGCTTTCTTGTAGAGACGGTGCTAGGAGGAGCGGATGCAGAAAAGCTGAGGCGTCCGTTAGAGAGAAGACGAACGAGAGATGACGAACGAGAGGGATGATCTGAGAGATCATCAATCGAGGAGTCCAGTGTTGACTTCGAAGGATGATGATGCTTTAAAACGGTGTCGAAAAGATGAATGGAGGGTGGAGAAGAAACGTCGTCGTAGTGGAAGCGAAGCATCGTCGTTTTTAAAGCCAACAGGTTGATCTGCTGGTTGGCCCATTTTGAAATGGATCGCATATATCTACCGAGTCAACCGCTGCAAGATACCAGATTTGAGGTCAAATTGTGTGTTTAGTGGTATTTGACATTAAACATTGCATCTGAATATTATTATTGTTTTTTTATTTTCAAAGAAATTATATTCCTTATGAGTGACTAATGGTTTTTAATATCATTGTTAAAAGCTTGAACTCATTTTTTAATGTTGAAGTTAGACATTATCATAATGATGTTTTGTATTTATTTTCAACGAAATACTTTTTGTTATCAATGATTTGTTATATTGTTATTAAAAGTTTGGTGCTTTGGTGTGAATATTGGTTTGCCTGAACTAATATTTTTCTTTACTAATGTTTCCTTGACCGCATCATAATGCACTATGTGCAAGTGTCGAAGATGTTGAAAATCTATATTGTGCTTTATGATCATTGAGAATGATAAATTGATAATATACAGCAAGTTGCCACGAAATTAGAGAGGGCGGATATTTTTAATTTTAAAAACAAAGGAAAAGTTAAATTGGATCACTTGTGTTCAATTTTAAAAAAGAAAAATATTAAGTTTGACTGAGAGAGGGTTATGGAGAAGGTTTCGAGAAGAGATAGAAAAAGAATCATTAATTATTAATATTAAGGCCAATACTATAGTGTCGATGAATACAATAAAGGCTTTCCAGTTTAGAGCTTTAAGGATTCAAATTTTCTTTCTTCTTATACTTCCACATCAACGCCTCTTTTAGCTAATCACAATGCAGATAAGAAGAAAAAATTCTCCTGCGTGGTTTCCAACCATTTATCATGTTATTTTTATTTATCTATTATTTTATCAAGTGGTGTAAGGGGAAAATAGCCTAAAAATGCAACTATGATTTTATTTTCCTTTTTAGGAACAAGTAATTACAAATTAAATCCCGTAGTAACTAGTTAATTGATGTTTTCTAATTTTCCTTTGTCCACTTTGAATGTGTACTTCTTCAAACTACTCTCACCCTATAGTGAAAACAAAAAAAAAATCTAATACTTGAGTTTGCAAATATTATTTTCAATAATCTGTGAATTCCAATGTGTTATTAAAATGATTTTTTCATAAACCTCTAACATGGTGAATGCCACAAATGATTTATTTTGAAACTCTTCAATCTATTTTATTGATAGATGTATAAATAATATTCTAAGTTATTAATTTAATTCATTCAATATGAATATTAAACGTGCTATACGGTTTTATACGTGTGTAGTATGGGGCCATGAAATGGACAAGAAAAAGTGGAACGGTCTTATAATAGTACAGTGAAAAAATTAAATGATAAAATACGTGTGTTCATATATACACATATTAAACATGGTATTTTTTTTTTTGATGAATCGGCGGGATCTTATTCATCAAAAAAGTACTTTTGCTAGCAACACCCTTGCTAGCTAGGGGAATATCACCATAAAATGGCAAAGACAGCAAAGAAACAATCAAAAAACCAAACCTACCTCTGAGACAGATTTAAGCTAGTCATTCCAAAAAAGATTCAACCTATCTCTCCCAAGTACATACACAATCTCAGCCTTTATACCAGACATCACTTCTTGAAAACCCCTCACCTTATCACCATACAGTCGACGACATCTTTCTCTCCAAGTCTGACTGATCCACGTTTGCCAGATAAACCTCCCTGCTTCAGCTTCTTCTGTTTGCTTGTCATACTTCTCCAGCAGCCATGAAACCATGGTCTCCCATGTTTGGAACTCCGGGACCTGCATAGGACCTTTAAACAACTCATCAAGAATCTCCCTAGTAAAGGGGCAGAGAACAAACATATGCTGCCTACTTTCAACCCCTCTCCCACAAAGAACACAATTCAACGATCCTTGGAGGCCCCATTTTTGCATTTTCCCTTTGTTTGTATACTTCCTCGGATTACCAGCCAAGTAATCAATCGATTACTTGGTATAGCCACACCCTTCCAGATTAATTTGCACCAAGCAACCCTCTGCTGAGGAGGCCTAACAAGCTGCCAGACTCTTTTAATAGAGAATCGAGGCATTGGTAACCCATCAAGCAATAAAACACCATCCCTGTTTGAAATAAAAGGAGCTATTCTGCTTCTGAGCTTCAGAATTTTGCACCAATTTCAGGATCCTGAAGTGCAGTTATAGGACCAGAAGCATCTCCCCTTCAGTTTGTATTTGGTGATCCATGGCACCCACAAAGACCCCTCCTGAAGCAAAATCTGCCAAATATGTCTTGTAGCACAGACCTGATTCCAGCTATTCATGTCCCTAAAACCAAGGCCTCCTTCCCTTTTAGGATAGGTAATTTTCTTCCATGCAACATTAGCTCTAAGTTTCACCTCTCTTTCCACTCCCCATATGAAATTACTGCACAATCTCTCTACCTCTTTAATCACAGCTTTAGGTAAAAGGAAGACAGACATCCAGAATTGGTTTAAACTGTAGAGGACAGTACCCACTAGCTCAATTCTACCTGCATAAGACAATGATTTTGCTTTCCAAGCTGTGATTTTTGCAACTATCTTCTCTATAAGTGGTTTACAGGCTGTTAAACTCAATTTTCCAGCTATCAGTGGAACCCCCAAGTATCTGACAGGGAATTCCCCCAATTTATAACCATATCTTTCAGCTCTAATTACCCTTTCTCCCTGAGATAACCCTCCAAAGAATAGTTCACATTTACTAGGGTTTGACTTCAATCCAGAAAGTTTTCTAAACTGAACAAGAATTCTCTGCAACTCCTGTATCCCATAATTGGATGCATCAGTAAAGACCAGCAGGTCATCAGCGAAACAGAGGTGGGTAAGTTTGACTCCTTTACACATTGGGTGATATGGGAACCTCCCAGCAATAGCCGATTGATCAATCAGTCAAGTAAATATTTCCATGGCAACTGCAAATAGGTAGGGGGACAGGGGATCCCCTTGCCTAAACCCTCTCTTGGCAGGAAAATAACCAACTAATGGTCCGAGACTCTAGGAGCTTGAATGTGAACCTTACTGTCCTTTACCAAATCTAACCAAGCAAAGTTAACCAGGACTCTATCTAGTCTCTTAGCAATAAGATTGGCAGCTTGTTTATTTAACCAAGTTAACCATGGCCCCGTTACTTGATGCTCTTCTAGTTCAAGATCATTGATCCAATCATTGAACCCCATCATTCGAGAATCCACTATAGGAGAGTTTGAGGCTTCTGAAGGAGTCCTAATATCATTAAAGTCACCCAAGACAATCCAAGGAGCTTGCGTCACATTAATTCTTCTCAATTCATTATATAGCTCCCTTCTGCTGGCTTCCTCATTTGAAGCATAGACAACCGTTCCAAAAAACATCTGTAGCCCACCAACCATAAACTGTATATAATGATCAGATGAGTGCAAAACAGTGAGCTGAATGTCCTTTTTCCAGAGTAGCCAAATTTTCCCCAGGCCATTTGAATTATGTTGAATCTTCTTCTTCCAATCTGGGAATCTCTTCTCAACTAGCTTATCTATCTCAGAGGATCTTATTCTAGGTTCTAGTATTGCAACTATGTCTATATTGTACTTATTTATCTTCTTTAGTATAGCTGTATATTTACCTTCTGCTTTAAACCCTCTCGTGTTCCAGGTAAGGATTTTCATCTCTTACCTCTTCCCCTTCCACCTTTACCTCCTTTCTTTGGTTGAATGGGAACCAAAGGAGAATCCACCCAAACTTTCTTTCCTTTGTCAATAAGAGGTTGCATGTTTTCTTTCCCTGTATCTTCCTGAGTTGTCTGAAGTCGAAGGCTCCCAGTCACTGGTGACCTTCCACTAACAGACTCATGCCCACCAGCAACAGAATTCCCACCTACAAGTGGTGATCCCATCACTATCTGAGCAAAACTGAGAGGAGAGCCCCCATTTGAGGAAGGAGCTTGAACAACCACACTCTTTTCAATTGCACTAGTCTCACCTTCAGGGTTTGGTTCATTGTCACCATCTCCCCCTTGTGTGGTCTCCATTGTAATATCAGTATTCTCAACTTCCACTGCAGTAGTAGTCTCTGCCTCTGTAGCATCCCCAGTTTCCAGCCCCTCTATCAGCAGGTTAACCATTCCACCACTATCAGCAGGGCCCTCATTATTTTGCATTTCCACATTCATTCCATTTCCATGAGCCCCCTCAGGTTGTTGTACCATATCTTTGTCCACTACCCCAGCTACCTATCCCTCAGTTACCAATTTCTCTTGTTCACCCTCATTTGTAGTCTGCACATCCTTGACTCTCCACTGTTTCATGGGCTCTTGTGCACAGCTATGCCCAAATAAGCAGCACTTTGAGCACACTTTCGGCAGGTGTGAGTACTCCAGACCAATTTCGAAGTCAGGGTCATTATCAGGGTAAAACCTGGCCTTATCAGGGAACCCACAATCTACAGCAACTTCAACACAGACTTTCGCAAACCCCAGCTGAGCGCCTACCCTAGTCTTCTGGTCAGTCCAGAGCGGCTTCCCAATCACACTTGCAACACATTCAACCCCATCACTACCCAAATATTCAAGAGGTAAACCCCTAATCGTGACCCAGATCGGTAGCATACCAACCTTTGGCACCACTGGTTGAATGCCCACTTCCCACTTTCGGAAAAAAATCGGATTCCCCTTGAAATGCCACAGCCCCGAAGTGAAAACCCACTCACACGAAGAAGGAGAAGGAAACTGGAAAATCAGAAGTTTCGGACCAAATCGCGATACCCTCACAATACCATCTCTCCCCCATAGCTTGTTTGCCCATGACTGGAGCTCAGCAACCTCTGGACACTTCCCGACGAACTGACCCACTAATGAATCGCGCCATTGTTCAACACCCTTCTCCTTAACCTCCTTCGGAATACGAAAGCCATCATTGACCCTCTCTGGGGGCCTGAAGGTAAGTCGCTTTTCTGGAGCAACAGCAAAGAGACTCACCCAGGAAGAAGAGCCCTCGCCAGCCAGGGGAGCCGGCGAGACGGCCATCGCCGATTTAGGTTTTCCTCAGAGAACGAAAAGGAGAGAGAAAAAGGAGAGTTAAACAGGGTATTTACTAACTATGATTTGGAGAAATTTTTAAAAAGTTTGGTGAAATATGTTTCATAGAAGTGATCTTATATTTTGTCACCATATTAGATTAATGGTTCCAATTGAAAATAATAATTTGGTGTATTAAGACTAATGGTGCCGCTCATTTGTTACTAATGGTTTTTAATATCATTGTTAAGAGCTTGAACTCATTTGTTAATGTTCACATCGGAAATTATTATATTGATGTTTTGTGCTTTTCGTTATCAATGATTTGTTGTATTTTTCCTTAAAAGTTTGGTGCTCAGGTGTGAATGTTGATTTATTTGAATTAATATTTTTCTTTACTGATGTTTCCTTGACCGAATCACAGTACACTATGTTGCAAGTGTCAAGATGTTGAAATTAAGTATTATACTCTATGATCATTGAGAATGATAATGTAAAGTAGTATCAGTTGATCACAAAAAGTTAATAATGCCATTAGAAATTATTAGAAGAGCTCATGACTGGATACTTATAAACATGACGTAAAAGGTGTAAACTAAATTTTTACCTTTACATTATGGTACAATATAAGTTCAAGTTGTATAATAACATATATGTATAAATTCTCTTATGGTACAATCTAAATTTATATCCTAACAATAATATATAGAGGTTCTTGGCATGAACCCCCTTAATCTCCTTTTTCCTGCTCTGTGCGTAACCCACGGCAGGAGATTTTGGTAATTGCACTATCAATTTATTGACCGAACTGGGCTGGGCCCATTCTTTTTTCCCTTGCAAACGGGACACATAAACAATTGAAAGGGCTTTACTTGGACCAGAGATAATTGAGCTGGAGAATTCTTTTGGAGGACAACACTCAAGCGGCATCATGCCATCATCCCCTAAATCTTAATAATCAGTTCACTCACCATCTCCAAAGAAAGATGCTAATCAGCTAATAAAAATAGGAAGGAGATTATGTGTCTAGGAAGGACACTTCTTCCTTTTAATTATTAGCACTTCCATTATAAGGTTTATATTTCATATTTGTAAATTCTATCGGTGTGAAACAGACGTGTCATATTTGTAAATATTTTATTATTAAATTTTTGTTTTCAATGAAATGTAGAAACAAGAATGCTTAATGATGGAGGTAGTGGATCAAATATTGGAGATAATGACAGTTTGAGTGTTGATACGAAGGAAGATAATATTGATGGTGTAGACCATAGTTTTAGTTCGATTTAATAAGTTTTTTAATTAGCATTTGACTTCTTGATATTATCTTAGTTTTTAATCTCAACTTCTTACGTCGATGAATCATTTAATATGTCAGAAAACTCTATGAAACTCTTTGATGCATGTCATTTTTATCATTTTAGTAACTGATTTATTTGGATTTCTTTATCGTATTATATAAAATGCATATTTGGTCCGAATAATTTTCATCGATAAAATGTACCCGACCAACGGGCGGGCCCAAATCTAGTATTTAAAGTACATCTTCAATTTGTACCTTGAAACACCAATGTACAAAAATAAGAGGGAAAAACTTTAGCGATCGTCAATAAAAAAGTTTTTGGTTTATTATTTATTTGACAATCATTAAGTTGCACACAAAAACATAAAGAAGTTACCGAAAACAAACCCCCTATAGTAGCACGAACATAAATAAAAAATAATTAAGAAACTAGAATAACTTTCCAGCGAGAGAATTTTTTTCCCTTTTTGGGGTGTGGACATCTATACCCCCCTCCCAAAAAAATTGATGCTTTCACTTTTTCTTGTTTTTCTCTTTTTTATGATTATTTTGTTGGAGTTTATGGACTTTGCTATCATTTTTTCAATATTTCTTACGACTAATAATATTATTGCACCATATTGATTATCACCATTAAAGATATCGAGAAAAGACAATACCACATGAATGTGCACTTTTATTTAGGAGATCAAATGGTCACACCACCTACAGTGGTAGTGGGGGGAAGGAAAATGAGGGAAATTGGATCATAAGAGATAAGACACCCACAATGGAGAGTTAAAAAATGAGAAATGTTGAGTTTTTCCACTAGTGTGCTCACAATGAGGGTTAAAAGAGGGGAAATAATGACTTTTTTTGTGGGAATGGGTGGGTTTAGTTCTTTTAATGGAATGGGTGAGTTTTTCCACGTGTCTGTTTTGTTCTTTTTTTCTTGCTTTTAAGTGGGTTTAGTTGTTTTAATTGATGTTTTTGGTGTGTTATTGGCCATCGACCATATTTTTCAACCGTCATCTCTCAAACATGTGATGAATCATGGACTTCTAAAAATTATTGTTTATTCGCCATTGATGACGTCATATTTAATTAGTTAAAAAAATTATGTTAAAATTAAAAAAAATATATTATATCGAAATATTTATCTTAATTAATTATTACCACCTGTATAAAAGAAATTATATAAATAAAGATACAATATCAACACTAAATTGATTGTGCTAAAAAAAATACTTATCAATTACCCTCTTTTCCCTCCCTAACCATTGTGGCCAAACCCTTCCTCTAACCTTTTTCCAATCTTTTCCCACCCAAAATTTCCTCTTTCCCACTTTTACCATGTTAATTACCAAACCAAATGAGCACAAATTCTATTATCCATGAAATACAATAGGGTATGTCTATGGTGACATGCATGTCACCGTAACTTGCACTTTTAGGTCGACCTCATATAGGATTAGGTCGACCTAATCTGCACTTTTAGGTCGACCTTATATAGGATTAGGTCGGCCTAATATGTTGTTTCAGTTTTGTGAGGTTCCCGAATACACTAATGTGGGCACCCTAATGACTTATCACGGTCAACCTTTAAAATGTAGTGGTCGACCGTTTGTAGTTTAAGTTGTCATTGTTGATCGACCACAATAAAACATCGGTCGCCCTTTTCATTGGCATCAGAAGCAAAATGGTCGACCGTAAAGGTATATAGGTCGACCACTTGATGGCGGTCGTTAACAAAATGGTCGACCATTTACAGAAAGAGGTCGACCAGATAGAAGAGAAGTGTTGTATCCATTAATCCATCATCATTTGACGTAAAATGAAGATCAAGTGTTGGTTTTGCGGTCGACCTAATCCGGTACGAGGTCGACCGAATACAAGAAAATCAACTTATGCCCTACGTCTTTTTTGCTTATGTATGTCGATGTTGATGGTTCTTTTGCTCGTACAAATTACGTTTCAAACCAACAGAATCAGTCATAAATAATGATAACAAGGACTCATAACTTCCACGTGGTCGACCTCTTGAATCACGTACAGCAGCAACCGCAAAGAATCTTTTTCACAAAAGCTCTAACCGTAAAAAAAACCTAATTCAGAGTTTTGGTGTCGGTGAAGGTGACATATATTCGTATTTATAGATATTTAGGACGAGAATGGATCGAATTGAGTGGTAGATAAGTTAGGGTTACCTTTCTGGTGTTGGAATCATCCAAAACGGATACAGTGTGCACGCGGTCGACCTCGTACTTATACGGTCGACCTCAGTTAATCAAAATGGTCGGTCTATGAGGTATTTGGGTCGACCTTTCATTATGTTCGCTTCCTAAAGAGATTGACCATTTGCTATAAAAGGTCAACCGCATCGTTGAACATCACAAAACTGAAACGACATATTAGGTCGACCTAATCCTATATAAGGTCGACCTAAAAGTGCAGATTAGGTCGACCTAATCCTATATAAGGTTGACCTAAAAGTGCAGATTAGGTCAACCTAATCATATATGAGGTCGACCTAAAAGTGCAAGTTACGGTGACATACATGTCACCGTAGCAAAGTCCAATACAATATCATAACCAAACCGTCCAAACTAAGACAATAACAAAATTAACCAAACTAAAGTTTAATTTGTTTTGTTAATTGGTTAACCATAATATACAATATAACATCACATTATCATTAAGTGAGAATTTTTCGATTAATGCATCTACTTGATATAATGAATAACACATAGTTATAGTTAACCCTTAATGTATATCTGATTTTCTTACCACTTAATGTAGATTACTTCACAGATTTATTGGCATGTATTAGTACATGAAAAAGAATCAGTGGTATCAAGATTAGATCTCCAAGCAACCATAGCATATAGATCAATCATATAATCATATCTAT